AATATATTATGAATTAATTAGCATAAATAAACACTATCAGCTCTCTGGTCTGTAGTATTCTGTCACTCACCTTCCATCATACAGTACTTCCACCTGCCATCATAAAATGCTCTGGTTGAACACCAAGGGAGGAAGCTGTTGGTTTTGATGCAAGTGAAGTAAACAGACCCCTTATAGGTAAAAGGAAAGACACAGTTCTCTTTCAGTTCTGGAGAACAAAAGAACAAAGCACAGTGGGTAAGTCATAATGGATGAGGTGCACCTTGTTTCATTCTTGCTCTGATCTATTTGCCTGACTTCCCAATTCGTAGGTGGGAAGGCTGTTAAAATTCCGAGCACTCACATTTCTCTGCTGATCCAGTTCTCCTCAGAACATGTTACCAGGAGGTGCTATACTAATGTTTGCTAGAAACAGCACAGGGACAAAAATGGAAAAAGAGCTTTTGCAATGGGAAGGGATGTAAAGAAAGATTGAAGGGAAAGTGAAAGGACAGAAAAAATAGTGTGTCATGTGCACATACAAATGCCCCACCATGAATGTCATCATTGTATGCTATAAATATGTGAATAAAAAATAAACACAAGAACTATTCATTCCTCCTGATGAGGTAGTGCCTTGTCTTTCTTCCCAAAATTAAAGCATATGCACATCCTTATCCAAGTCTGGAAAGATTTTTGGAATGCCTAACCAAAAGGCCTTAACAATTTGCAAGCCTGATGTACAAATTTATTTAACAATGTGTTTGTGAAAGATTTATAAGGAACAAGGCATCCTGAAAACACATTGCTAAGATATCTACTTTTGTTAACTCACTCCCTGTCCCACGTTTTTCATCCTTAAATTTTTTTTCAGCTTCTCAATAGTTGGATTCCTTTCTTAGAAACTCACCTTCTGTCCCTCTAGACAGTGTCCTCTGGTTTGAACAAATTCTTGTCTTTCCTGTATTTGTTGACTGTTGGTAAATTATTTTGCTGCCCACACCCCTGGCCTTCCTTATACCCTCTGGCATAGCACCTGAGAGCTAAGGTAGGGCCTTTGGGGGGTGATTACATCATGACGTCAGGGTCCTCATGTTTGCAACTAGAGTTCTATTAGAAGAAGAAGAAGAAGAAGAAGAAGAAGAAGAAGAAGAAGAAGAAGAAGAAGAAGAAGAAGAAGAAGAAGAAGAAGAAGAAGAAGAAGAGGAGGA